GGTCCTGCCCGCCTCCCGGCTCCATGTGCCCTGATCCAAGCACACGCCTCGGGGCCTGTCAGGGCCTCCCCTGCAGCTGGCATTACCTCCCGTGTCCCCTGGGCCCCCACCCGGGGGCCGGTGTCCCACCAGCTGGGTGCGGGCCCCCAGCACACGCTCTCCGGACAGGATGGGCCTGTGTCCGCTCCGGGATGTCCCACCGGACCCCCGGCCATCTCCTCTGCCCTCTGCCCGCCCCCCAGGAGACGAGCAGCAGTTCCCGCTGATGAAGTGAGCACGCACCCACCTCTCATGTGGCTTCTGAGCTGTGTGTATCCATCCCGGGCGCGTGGAAAAGCAGGGTCATGGGTGGTTTAACCACGTGTTCTCACTGCGTGGGGACGCGTGCTTGCTGTTCTGGGGAGAAACTGCAGTGTTTGCTGGCTCGTGAGGGCGTGGTCTGAGAGCGCAAACACCTAGTTAAACCCCGTGGGAGTCAAATGGATCGAAGGAAAACCCAAGCTGGCTGTCTGTGCCCAGGACCTCACCGCACCTCCCCGCCAGCGGCTCAGGCCAGGTCCGTGTTTCCGTCCCAGCCTGAGTGTTTGACCCATCTCTGTCTGCCGCCCAGACCACGAGGGCCCGCCAGCCGCAGTCTGAGCGCCTTGCCCCCTCCCCCCGTCCTCCCCGCAGGCGCCAGCGTGAGCGTTTGGAACCTGCAAATCGGCTGCAAGTCCTCGGCGATGTGGCACTGCCTGTGGCTCCTCCGGGGAGTCGCCCTGCGGGCCCCTCCCCCGCTTTCCCCCCAGCCGCGGGCTGACCCCCTCACCTCAGGCCTTTCCAAGCGCTGCTCCCACCGCACCCGCCCTGCCCCTGGGCCCTGCTCGCCCAGCCTGGTCCCTGCAGCTTGTTTTGGTGGCTGGTGCCCTGCGGTCCCATCACTTCATGACAGATCAATGGGGGGACAGTGGAAACAGTGACAGACTTTGTTTTCTTGGACTCCAAAATCACTGTTGGCAGCTGCAAAGTGATTGCAGCCTTGAAATTAAAAAACACTTGCTCCTTGAAGAAAAACAATGACAAACCTCAACAGCGTATTAAAAAGCAGAGATACTACTTTGCCTACAAAGGTCTGTATAGTTAAAGCTATGGCTTTTCCAGTGGTCATGCATGGATGTGAGACTTGTACTATAAAGAAAGCTGAGCACTGAAGAATTGATGCTTTTGAACTGTGGTGTTGGAGAAGACTCTTGAGAGTCCCTTGGACTGCAAGGAGATCCAATCAGTCCATCCTAAAGGAAATCAATCCTGGGTGTTCATTGGAAGGACTGATGCTGAAGCTGAAACACCAATACTTTGATACGAAGAGTTGACTCATTTGAAAAGACCCTGATGCTGAGAAAGATTGAAGGCGGGAGGAGAAGGGGGCGACAGAGGATGAGACGGTTGGATGGCATCACCAACTCAATGGACATGGGTTTGGGTGGACTCCGGGAGGTGGTGATGGACAGGGAGGCCTGGCGTGCTGCAGTCCCTGGGGTCACAAAGAGTCAGACACGACTGAGCGACTGAGCTGATGCCCTGTGGCCCCTGAGCTTGCCCTCGGCCTGGGCAGCGGCTCCTTGTGGGCAGATGGGCGCCCTGTGGACAATCCGGAAGTGTCTCCCTCAGAGAAAAGGCCCCTGTGTCTGTCCCGACGCTCTAGGTTGTCTTTTCCTCTTTTCTGGGCCACAGTCCCGGGAAGTGGCTGCAAGGGGCCGCAGGGAAGAGACGCCCCGGCGAGGACACCCAAGCTCCGCCCTGACCCGGCTCCGCCGCGCCGCCCAGGTGAGGACTCCCAGGGTCCGCCTTCACTCGCGGGAGGAGCGTTCGTGTTCAGTCGGGAGAGTGGTTGCTTTCTGGGGAATTGTGTGAGCCGTGCCTGTCAAAACAGACGTGCTCAGCACTCATGTTATGAGAGTTTAGTTGGCTGACAATGTCACGTTAGTCTCCGCTGTACTGAGAAGTGATTCACATACATATGGACGTTCGGGTTTCTAAATATTGTTTTCCCTGTGATTTATCACGGTGGATCTGCTCTTTTTTAAATAACTTTGTCTATTTTCGTCTGTGCTGGGTCTTCTCCAGCTGTGGCAGGCGGGCCCCTCCCCGGCTAGAGACGGTGGGAGCCCCTGGGTCTCCCCAGCGGCAGCTCGAGCCGGGATCCGCGTGGCAGCGGACGCGAGACGCAGTGCCCGGGCTCCTCGTTGCAGCGGCTCCTCTTGCCGTGGACGGCGGGCTCTAGGGCGCACCAGCCTCAGTAGCCGCGGCTCCCGGGCTCCGCAGTCGCGGCTCACGGACCTTGCTGCCCTGCGGCGTGTGGGATCCTCCCGAGCAGGCATCAAACCCTGCCTCCTGCACAGGCAGGTGGCTGCTCTACCACTGGGCCACCGGGAGCCTGATGACCTACTCTCGTGGAGCTACAAGACGCCTTAGTTTTAGGAAGCGAAGCCCCTCAGTGTGTTATATGCAGATTTCCCATTACTGGCGACTGGCTTGCTCTTGTTTATTAAACCACGCAGTTATTACCGGTTTATCATCAGTAGTGAGACAGTTCGCTGTGGGCCTTCTGCTTTCCGGAAATGAATAGAAGGCAAAGCCTCAGAGCAGGATTGAGACCTCGTGCAGAGATAGGAGGGAGACGGGCTTTGGCCACGAGATGAAGTGCTGCGTTTACCTGCTTGTGGAATTTCACACATCACAGTCACTCTCACTTACGCTTTGCGTCAAATGTTAGAAAACTGGCTACTACACATCTGATTAAATGGCGTTAGTACAGCAGATTATCCAAGAGAGCACCTCCTTTAAAACCACCGTGTCTCCTGACAGGAGCTGGGAAGCACAGACACAGTCCACTGGCAGTTCTCCAAGGTGGACGCCTTTGGAGCGTTGTTCACCTTTTGTTACAAACAGGGTGACCGGGTAAAGATTAGAAGGAAAAAAGATCATCATTGCAACAATAGAAACACCATCTGTAAATAGGATTAATTTGCCCTTAGGGTGGTTTTTTTTCCACACCCCCGCCCTGCCCTGGCATGAACTGCATTAGTTTATTTAGAGTGGGTTTGTATGGAATTAATTCTTCATTCTCTTCCAACTGGGTAAAATTAATCCATCCTTCAATGAAGTATATAACTTTATGTGCATTCCATAAAGTAAAAATAATTTAATTCCGTTTAGTTTTGATGTTTTATGAAAATGTTTCCTAAACACACTGAAACAGTCTCCACTTGATAGCCAGAAAAGACTGAACGAAAGGGACAAAGAACATGCATTTCAGTTCAGTTAGGGTTTCGTGAGTGACGTGTTTGGTATTAAAGAGTAGCACCTCGGTTCTTTCATTCCATGGACTGGTTTTCAAGCCAACACACCTTCAAGTCACTTCAGGAAGAAAGACCGCGCCTTCTGTGGAGGACGCTGTTTAGTCGGGCTGTTGCATTGTTCCCGGGGCTCTGGAATCCACTGTTTGTGTGCCTGGAAGTCCGTTGTGCACATTTATAACCCAGGCGGGCATTGTTCTCCCGCCTGGGGAGTAGATTAGAGCTTTGTTCCCGGGTGGGGAGCCCCGCGACGCAGGAAGTAAACAGCAGGCGGAAAAACGTCCCAGGCGAGCTCTCCACCGGGCCGGGCTGCGCTTCCTACGGAAGCTGGCGAGAGACCTGATTTTCTTAAGTGCTTCAACTGTGTAAGTGTGTGAAGTCACACGGGCTGCGTTGCGAAGTGCAGACCCCAGGTCTGGGCTCAGAGTGTCTGGGAGTGAGCCGGGCGTGTCTGTCACTGAATCACGTGGCTGGTGAGCCTGCCTGGGCCTGGGGTGGAGGGCGTCGGCTTGAACAGATGTGGGTCGTGATCGCCCCGCGTGTGGTCGTGTCGGGTTGGGCTGTGTCCTCCCCTGGGGAAGTCCTGTGAGTGCACTGTGACGAGCAGCAGTCATGCCCATCACCTTAGTCGTGTGGGTCCTTGTTTTGCAGAAGCTGAAACGAGAGATGGAGGCGCTTCGGTCCTCTTCTCGGGGGCTCCTCCAGAGTTACCGGGAGGAGCATCGGGACTGTCTTTCTGAGATAGTGCGGGCTGTCCAGACGGCCCAGCTCCACCATGAGGCTCTGCTGGGTAAGACGGACCCCAACTGAAGATGCACCGGTTCATGTGGAGGCGGGGGCCCCGCAGGCGGCGAGCAGCCCGCTGGGGCCTGGGCGTCCAGCCCCCTCAGTGCTGGGGGCCTGCGAGCTTGTGGGCAGGGCTGAGTCCCTGTTCTCTGGGTGACCACTTGACCTCTTGACCTTAACCTCGGGCTGAACAGGGCCCTCTGTGTAAGGGTCCCCACCATGGCGCCCCAGGAACCCACCCTGTGCCCCCCACCCCTGTCCACACCACGGAGTGGGCCGTCAGGATGGAGATGAGTGTCCACGGCCACTGTCCTGAGACCCAGGGCCTTTCCCGAGGCTGGCACAGGCTGCATTTTGGGTGCCCTGGCTGCCGAGGGCCCAGCCTGCAGCACGCTGGGCACAGGGCTGGTGGAAGGGGCCGGGCCCTCCCCTCCGGAGCCGCTCCGATGGGGTGACCTTGCCTGCAGCGGCCTGGCCGGCGGAAGTAGGGCATCTGGAGCGGTCCCTGCGGGACGTGACCGAGTGCTGGCGGCAGGAGCAGCGGGAGCGGCGGCGGCTGCAGGAGGCCCTGGCGGTGGGTGACCGTCCGCCCGACCCCGACCACGGGGCAGCGTGGGCGGGGTCCCTGTTCCCTCGGGCCACCACCTCCTGGGTCCTCCGGCCCCTCTGTGGGGGCAGGGCTGGGCCCCTCAGGCCAAGCTTGGCGGCGCGGGGCCGGGAGGTGACCACCCTGTACCTGGGGGGCCTTCAGGAAGGGCAGCGGGCGTGGGTAGGGGTGCGGTTTGCAGAGGTGGAGACCCCCAAGCAGGACTGGAGCCTGGTAAAGCCTGAGCCGCCTCTGAGGCGCTCGGGGGCACAGGGGGCGGGCCCTGCCTCCTCGCCAGCTCTGGTCCACCCGGCAGAGGTCTGCGCAGAGGTGACAGCTGGACGCGGCCCTGGGGACATACTCCGGCCTCCGCCCAGACCCGGACTATTTGGGCCCTAATTACCTGTGACTTGATAGAAATAAGCAGGCAGGTTGATGACATTTGAAGATATGCGTTTGGAAGGAATTGATCGCAGACAGGTTGAACAGCAAAATATTTCAGCAGGCTGCACCCAGCCTGTCCCCAGAACGGCGGGCACTTGGAGCGGGGACCGGGTGTGGTCCCCTGTACTGACAGCGCCGCCTCGCTGGGCTGAGGTCCGATTCCAGGCAGACCAGCACGTTAGAGCCCATGTCTCCCAGCCCCCCGAGCCGCCGTTACTGTTGTTACTAGGGGACCCTCTGGCCAAGCTGCAGAACAAGCTCAGGTGACAAGTTCTCCGGGGTCGCTGCCCCTTGGCCTCCAGGCCCCTCTGACCTGCCCCTGGCTGCCCACCTGTCCTAGAAGGTCACGCCTGTCACTAACAGGTGTGAGAAGCCCTGGGTCACTAGTGGTCACCCTTCAGCCACCGCCTCCGGCGTCCCCCACCTCATCCAGCGGCCGCCTCTCCCCAAGCCTCTTGTGTCCCACGGGTCCGCACAGCTCCCTGAGAAGCCGTGGCTTCTCCCCTGCATCTAGATTTCTGCCCTGGGGTGTTTGTGGGCATCTGGCAAGTCTGCAGCCATTTTTCCTGCAGTCTGGGACTCTCCCCAAAGGCTGAGGGGCTGCGGAGGAGCGGACGGCTCCAGAGTCCCCTGGGCACCAAGGCATGGGGTGTCCGTGGAGTCCTGGTGGGAGCTGGCCGTTCATGTCCGTGGCTGCCAAGGAAGCGAGTGGTTTGCCTGGCGGTGTAGACAGAAGAGCCTCCAAGCGTAGAGAAGGAGGGGGCCCCCTCTGCCTAGAGACGTGCTTCTTTTCCCCAACACGACGCTTTAGGAAGGACACGGACGGGCTGGGTTGATCTCAGCCGTGTCAGGAGGACGGTGGATGTGCCCTGGAGCAGTGAGGGCTGGCAGGGCGAGCAGGCAGGGAGGTTTCCGGGGGGCACAGGAGCGGGGCTTCTGACAAGCTGGTGTGTGGGAGAGGAAGGGCCCCTTCGGTGTGACCCCTGAGTTATCGAAGGTCCGCGGGTCAAAGGCCCCAGCAGAACCGTGTAGCAGTGACTCAGACGGAGCTCACCCAGGAGACAGGACCTCTCCGTTGGAGGGACCCAGGCACAGGCCGGCGGAAGCGTGGCCATGTCCGCGGGGCTAAACTCAGCACGATCTTGCCGTGAATTCCTAAGATAACGGGTGCATCAGCTCTGTGGGTCCCCAGCGTGTGGGAAGGTGTGGCTCCCGCACTGTGCTGGGCGGAGGTTTAGGGGCTTATTCTTCATCTCTGCTTCTGCATTGTCTCCTCGCACCTACCCCCGGGAGGGTCTGGGTAACGGGCAGCATTTCAGAAGCCTTCTCAAATCCCTGAGAGATTAGCCCGGGGCGCTGTTACACGTTAGTGACTTGATGCACTCAACCCAGTGGTAATCATTTGCCACGTGAGCAAATGTAAGAGTGAATTTTTTAAAAATTTGAGATGACACAGATGCTCCCTGCTCCGTGGGGGTTTTCTCCCATGTCGAGGCTTGGTGGGAAGTCCAGCACTCATGTCTCGGGGCAAGTCCTCAGCAGATGCCCTTCGAGGACTCGGGTCCCTGGGTTCCGCGTGCTCCCAGGCGCACGGCAAACCTCCTCCTGCTTCAGGACCTGAAGGGCGACATCAGAGTCCTCTGTCGGATCCGCCCTCTGCTGCCCTTCGATGACAAGGCTCAGGAGCCGGTCTCACGGAACAGGTAACCCGCTTCTGCGCTGTGTGTGTGCCTGTGCACGTGAGCACATGCGTGTGTGTGCACGCGCGAGTGTGCGCGCATCTGTATGTGCACGTGTGTATGTGCGTGCATGTGTATGTTTAAGTGTGTGTGTGTGTGTGTGGTATGTGTATTATGTACACATGTGTGTGTGGTGGTGAAAGGTCGTTGCTGAACCATGAAAGACTCCAGGATTCTTGGCTTCTGGAGGAGAAGAATTCAATCTGGGGCCAGAGACGAGGCTTGATCACACAGAGCTTTTGTGTGATGAAGTTTTATCAACGTATAAAAGAGATAGAGAAAGCTTCTGACATAGACATCAGAAGGGGGCAGAAAGAGTGCCCCCTGCTCGTCTTTAGCCGGATGTTAAACAGCTACTAGCAGGCTGCTAATTGGAGAAAGGAAATGTCTCAAAACTCAGAGTGGCACCAGGTCCCTCACCCACAACATGCATCAAGCTAACATTGGCACAAGGTAAGTCATCCCAGGCCATAAAACGATTGACATGAATCTTGAAAAAAGGCAGGTTTCCATACAAATATTTAGCTTTATTAGCATAGATTAGGAGAACAATATATGAGTATAACACACTGGTTTGTCAAGTCGGTTCTGAGCCTTTAGGTGGAACTGACTTGAAGACAGAGTCTAGGGTAAATACATAGTACATTAACATAGCTTGAGACAAACATTTCCGTAAGAAAGATGCATTGGTTAGCTCAAGGTTTGAGAAAAGTTAAGTTCAGGTGGAACCAGGTGTCGTTATGGCAACACAAAATTTTAAGAGAAACCTCTTTTTAAATTTGTATAGAGAAGGGGAAAAAATATAGCACAAGTTTGTTTCCTCTTAAAGTTTGTTTAAGAGAGAAAAAAACTGTGACACTCGCAGCCTATTTCCTCGGTTTCCTCCTAGTTCCTCCTCTCTCCTCGCCCCGAGCCTTCCCGCCTGCTACCCTTTCAGTGTGTGTGTGCACTGCGCACACGTGTGGTGTGTGCACGTGCATGTGTATATGTTTGTGCACGTGTGTGTTTGTGTGCGTGCACACGTGTGCATGCGCGGCATGTATATTGTGTACATGTTTGGTGTGTATGCATATTGTGCACACACACGTGTGTGGTGTGGTGTTTGTGGTGTGTTCACATGTGTGTACTGTGCACACACATGTGGTGTGTATATGTATTGCATGCACATGTGTGTATATTGTGTGCACACATGTGTGTTGTGTGCACGCGCGCATGTGTGTGTGGACGAAGCACAGAGGTGGCACCCCGCCTCCTATGTTCTGGTCTCTGGAGGAGGCCCTCTTTTCTGGATGGAGCTGATTTGCCAAGATGAATGAGTGGCAGTCGCTCTGGAATGTGCCTGAACGTGGCCAAAATACCTGAGCAAGAAAGAGAGGGGTCGCAGGAGCCCGCTACCCAGGCAGTCAGGCGGTCAGGCGGCCGTCGGTGGTGCAGGCCAGCTCTTGCTGGTCCTTGCCCTCTGATTCCCCCCAGAGGCCCCTCAGAGATCAGGGGGTGGTTACTGCTGACTCAGTACTCCTGACTGAGAGAAGGTGTCCCTGGTGATGAATGACACAAAATTACCTGAAATTCACTTCCTTGAAAATCATAATCCTGACTTTTCCTTCTTTCTCCGATGAAACAAATGCCCCGTGGACGTCTCCACTGGGCTGCCCTTCGGAGCAGCTCCCGACTCTGGGCCTCACCGGGCCCGCGTCCCGCTCAGCCCGCAGCGGCCCCTGCTCCGCTAGATCGGGCCAGGCCCACCCGAGGGCTCGCGGTGACTGCTTCCGCCCGCCCCGGTGACTGCGCCCACCTCAGGGCCCGCCCCGTGCCCTGCCCACACTTGGCTCTTCTGTGAAGGCCCCATCCACTCTCTCCTCTCTGCACGCGCTACAGTGTAACGCTTGGCTTTGGAGGGCCTTTAGAAAGGCCCCGGTCAGTCCTGTGGTGTGAAACTAGTCTTGGCAGTGGGGCGTGCCTAGCTCTGCAGTGCCGTCCAGCAGCCAGTGGTCCCGAAACGTGGTGTCTCCATGAACATGCTCCTGGAGTGGTGTTTGCAGGTGGCCGTGTCACATTATTAACCTGCTTCTGTGCGGCCTGACAGGCTCGCTTCCTGCCACACGTGGTCCTGTGACTAAATGAATTAAAGTTAAGTGATCTGGACGCATAGCTGCTCAGCTGCTCCGGCCACGTCTCAGGCGCACTGCTGGACAGTTCATCACCACAGAAAACTGTCAGACGGCACTGCCCGGGGATGCCCAGCCTGGCAAAGCTTCCCGAGAGGCGTCATAAACCATCTATCCTGTTCTTCTTTCATTTACAGCTACTTAGTTTTAGCTCTGACATGTGTCGCCTCCCTCTGGATTCACAATCGCATTCCAATACTGCCGCTCCCAAGGGCAGAGACCTTGGCAGGCCTTTCTTTCTGTCTCAGTCACCCCCAAGCTCCTAACCTCAGGCTGTGTGTGGGAGGTGTTTACACGTAGACGTACGTGTCACACACCACAGCTGGAGAAGGCAGAAGTACCGAACGGAGCGGAGGTGTGCGAGGAAAATGTGCCGAGACAAGGTCAGAGGGAGGGGGGAGGTGGAGGTGAGGAAAGGATAGAAAAATCGAGACCAAGATGCAAGACGCCAGGGACCAGAAGAGAGGGAGCCGGAAGTGAGCCCGAAGTCTGAGCGAAGGGGACGCGCGGAAGGAGCTCCACCGTGACGTGTGTCTTCATGCTGTTTCACCCCTCAGCTCCGTGTCCGGAGGCGTGGTCCACGCAGTCGATGACGTGAGTCAATTCTCCTTACACCTTGTATCTGGGAGCGCTCCGTTTGACGGTTCACACATCCCACCACTGAGTGGGTCAGAGGCTGAGTGAATGCGAAGCAATCGCCTCCTTTTTTATGCTTTCTTAGTTACTGTTTCTGTTTCTCGATTCTATCAGACGTGGGATTTGTGAGGCGTTGGGTGCCTTTCCCACACGAGCCCATAAGGCTGCTCGCCTGCAGCTCTAAGGGAGGGAAGCCACCCCCCTTTCATTAATTCTCCAGCCCCCACGTCAATCCGTGCACGTGTGAGTGAGTCCTAATATTTGCAGCACAAGGAAAGAAGTGCACGTATAAAGCAAGTAGAGTTAAGCATGGACTCAGTGTGCATTTGAAACGGACACCTCTGTATGCGTGCATGAGTGTGTTTTCCCTTTAAAGCCCCATTCTCCTTATATTTGAGCTTCCACAGTGGCTCAGCTGGTAGAGAATCCGCCTGCAATGCAGGAGACCTGGGTTCGATCCCTGGGTTGGGAAGATGCCCTGGAGAAGGGAGAGGCTACCCGCGCCAGTGTCCTGGCCTGGAGAATTCCATGGACGGTGTAGGCCATGGGGTCGCAAAGAGTCGGACACGAGTGACTGACTCTCACTTCACTTTCTCTCTCATGTTTATCTGTTGGAAAGGCCAAGACGCAGCAGTGGGTGCAGGGCGGTGGGGTTCCTTGAGGGCTCGTGGGTCACGGGTCCCGACGAGCCCGGGGCAGGGGAAGGGGAAGGGCTGGAACTTCCTGCTGGAGGGCTCAGAGCCTGTTTAACAGAGCGCCCATCGGGGTCGGACGGAACGATGGGACTCAGGAAGTGAAGGACGCAGGCCAAAATAACATACTCCAGTGAAAACCTTCATGGCTGTTATTATTTTTAGATCTTGTTGATCAGTTTGGGAGAGTGCTTCGTGTCGGTCCTTTATTCTAAGACACAGTAAAGAACAAAGGAAACCTCGTGTGGCCCTTCCTGATGAAACATGTTTCAGGGCAAATGCATCACTGATGAGGGAAAGTTCTTTATGGGAGATTCTAGTGAATAAACCCAGAAAGTGAAAAGCATCAGTCACGTCTGACTCGTGTGACCCCATGGACTGTAGCCTGTCCATGGAATTCTCCAGGCAAGAGCACAGGAGTGGGTAGCCATTCCCTTCTCTAGGGGATCTTCCCGACCCAGGGATTGAACCCGGGTGTCCTGCATTGCAGGTGGGTTCTTTACCGTCTGAGCCACACGGAAACCCAAAGATGCTGGATGAGGGTCCTTTATCCTGCCCCATTCAACTCTGCGTGTGTCTGAAAGTCTCCGTAAATAAAAGTCTTAAAGATGTTCTAGCTGTATTATGACCATCACAAAATGAACTGCTCCAGTTTCAGCTCCTTTATTGTCATTTTCATTGAACATGAAAGTCCAGGCCCTTTGGGGCAGTGACCTCTTGGAGGGTGACCCTGGGTTGCATCGATTGCTCTCAATCTCGGCGCTTGTCCGCCAGGCCCGTTGTCTGAATCAGTCTTATTGTCATAACATATTGTAAACCTGAGCAACCCTTTTTGCTCTCCTTTTATTTTATTATTTTAAAAATAATCTCTCTCTCTCTCTTTTTTTTTTTTTGGCCTCACAGTCAAGCATTCGGGATCTTAGTTCCCTGACCAGGGATGGAACTCTGCTCCCTGCAGTGGAAGCACAGAGTCTTAACCCCTGGACTGATAGGAAGTCCCAGCTTTAAACTTTTTTAAATAGTTTCAGTTAATGGAGTGATACCTTAGTTTTTTAAAATAAAGAAACCATGAAAATTGTCGTAGCTGATTATAAAATTCCATATAAAATAAGCCTTTTAAAAATTCCATGCTTTTCAGTACTTTTCCTTCTATTTTGGTGCCTTGTAGGCTGTCTTTAGGACGAGTGTCATGGGGTTGAGCAGAAGACCAGCTAATCCTCGTTATTAGGAGTGTGAGTCAAAGGGAATCCTCGGGACACGCCACTGCCCCCACCTCCGCCTCTAAGTGGTTAAGTTACTGCCTCTCCTGCGTCTCCCCAGCTCTGAGGGCATCTGGTCCCTGCGGGGAGCTTCCCGTGGGGGGACAGCCGCCCCCAGTGATGGGTCCCCCCTGGGAGCTTCCCGTGGGGGCACATCCGCCCCCAGTGATGGGTCCCCCTGGGAGCTTCCCATGGGGGGACAGCCGCCCCCAGTGATGGGTCCTCCCTGGGAGCTTCCCGTGGGGGCACATCCGCCCCCGGTGACAGGTCCCCCTGGGCTTGCTAACATCTTCATCCTCTTTGTGGTCCCTGCCCGTCCTGGCAGATTCCCCTGAGTCTTCACACTCTGAACTTCGAGGCTTTACGAAAATGTTTTACCCATCAAGATGAGATAAAATTTCTTTCCATTGGGGCATTTCAGATTGTGCTTTAGGAAAGCAGGAGAATCCAAGTCATTTTTCAACTTCACTTGACCCGTCTGTTAAAGGACTTCCTGTCACTGAATGTGCTGAAGACGCGAGTGGTCTGCCCTGCGACCCTGGAACTCTGGGCTCCCGCGTTGTGCTTTTATTTCCAGGAGTCTAACGAGAGTTTGCGTTTGTCCTGGGCGCGTAATGCAGCTTCGCATTTCTTTTTTCTGGCTGCACTGGGTTTTTGTTGCAGCTCGTGGGTTTAGTCACCCTGCAGCAGGTGGGGATCTTAGTTCCCAGACCAGGGATCGAGCCCGCCTCCCCTGAATTGGAAGGTGAACCCTTCACCGCTGGACCACCAGGGAAGTCCTTTAGTGCTTGATTTCGGTTTGCGATCCGATTCCACATTGCAGGGTTCTGGATTCAGCCTACAAATAAAGCTGGAAGGGTTCTGGATTCAGCCTATGAATAAAGCCCGTCTCAGACGGAGTCGGCTTCTGTGCCAGCTCTGGGTCGCCAGGGCTGCCCATTGCGTCTTTGGTTTGGTTTGTTTGTTTGATAATCAGATGCAGAGGAAGAGATGCTGGCTTGGCCGGGAGTGTGAGATGGCCCATTCGCATCTCAAACACAAACACTCCAGAGCGGCTCCTCATCGACCCTCCGATGGCTGTCAACCCCANACGTGTCTCGGAGCAAATAAGAGAGATAAAAAAAAAGTAACATATTACAAATATGACAGATTGATCACGGGTTGTTCCAGGCAGGGGGGACGAAAGGAAGGAAGTGCAGCTGGAGCTGAGGTGAGCCTTGCTGGGAGCTGGCTCCCGCGGGGCGGCCTCCCCAGCCACGCGCTGGTCCAGCTCCTCCAAACCCGCCTCTCGGACCCGCCGGGTTCTGGGTCCCTGTGCTCTGCTCCCCCAGCCGCACGGCTCAGTCTCGCCCGCGTTCAGGCGAGTCCTCGAGCCTTTGATTCTCCTCCATCGTCTCCCCCTCTCCCCGACCATTTGTCTGTCCAGCAGTCCCGGCCCAGGACCTGGGCGTCTCCCTCTGTCCACGCGATGGTGCGTCCTCAGCCACCCAGCGCACCGCTGTGTCTTCTGCGCATCTGAGTGGACCTCGGGACCCCAGGCTCGGCCGGGCAGCTCACTCGCAGGAGGCGGGGTCTCTGGTGGGGGCTCTGGGGGCGGCAGCGCGAGGATGCAGAGGGTGGTGGTCGGGGCTGTGGGCTCTCCCTGGAGAGCCAGTCTTCAGACGGGGGGTGGGATGTCTGCCCCGTCCCTCCTGGGGCACTGGGATCTCATTCTGGCTGGTGCTAAAGGAGCAGCCCCACAGTCAGGCAACAGAAACGCCGCAGGGCGGGGGAGCAGGGCCCAGGCTGCTGGGCAGGCTCCAGTCCAGAGGCTGGGGTGACAGGCAAACAGTTTTTGCCTGCAAAACCTAAATAGGCCACTTTTTGGATATGTATTTATTTTGCATATACACACACACACACATTATATGTAGGTGATGCCAGCATTACTAAAATAAATATATATACGCACTAATACTGGGCTTCCCTGGTGGCTCAGTTGGCAAGCAGAAGATGCAGGTTTGATCTTTGAGTCAGGGAAGATCCCCTGAGACGGGAATGGCAGGCCACTCCAGTACTCTTGCCTGGAGAATCCCATGGGCGGAGGGGCCTGGCGGGCTGTGGTCCGTGGGGTCGCAAACAGTCGGACACGGCTGAGTGAGGCAACAGTCACGCACGCTGATAGCAGTTGGTGATGCTGGTAAGACGATGTCAGTAAGACTTTGAGCAGGCCCCCGCCCCCCGCCCCGGAGTCTCTGCTGTTACAGAGATGGCAGGTGCCCGCGGGTCTCGCATCCCTGCAGCCCTGGGGTTTTCACTCTTCCGCTTCTATGCTGTGTTCTCACGACTCGCGTTTTGTTTGAGAATTGGAACCGGCTCCAGTTGCTTGTTCTTCCTTTGCTCGAGAGAAACTCAGGCTCCTTTCCTGCTAACAAATTGCCTTTGCTTCTCTCCCTACAGGATGTTGTGTAAGAAAATAGTTTAGCCAGATCAAAAGCTGATGTGTTTGAAATACAATCCACCGGTCATAACTGAATTATAACGATATCTGAGAAAGATTGCTTTAGCCCCGGGAAGTCTGACGCCGCCTCACTTGAAAAGAGCCGCCGGGGCTGGCTGACCCCGGTCCGGGGCAGAGGGGGAGCGATGTGTGTGTCTGTAGACTTGACTTGCTTCTATCAGAGCCTGGCAGGCTTTCCCTCTTAAAGACCAGAGAGTGAGCTTCAGCGTCCTCGGGACAATATGGTCCGTGTCTGTTACTCACGCTAGGGAGGAGAACAGAGCCCCAGGCCGTCTGCAGACAGGGCGGGCTGTGTCCCTGCAGAACCTGCTCAGAGCAGCGGCCCCGGGGCCGCGCTCGGCCCCTCTGCTCAGCACTACTAATGCAGCTTTTTTTGTTTTTACTACTAGGAAACCGTCCTGGTGGAGTGCACCCGGCCTGGCCACCCTTTGATTAATAAGACATATACGTTTGAAAGGTAAGTACTTTTCGAGATGACAGGTAAAGTTACACAAATGGAAACTTTGCACTAGGGTTTGATTAATAAAAGGCACAATTCATCCTATCATTTCGACTACTTGCAAAGGGGCAGAGGCAGTTCAGTGGAGAAAGGCCAGCCTTTTCCGCAAGTGATGCTGGAACCACTGGACGTCCACGGGCAGAAATGAAATGGATCTTTGTCCAGATGCCACAGCTTTGGCAAAAATTAACTGAAGTGGAAACTAAGTGTCAAGCCTGAAACCACACAACTTTTAGAAGGCAGCACAGAAGAAAGTCTTTGTGACCTTGGGTTAAGCATGGGATTCTTAGAAATGTGCCAAAAGCGTGATCCAGAAAAGAATCAGAAGTTAAACTTTCTTTTTTGTTTATGATACTGTTAAGAGGATGTGGGGACAAGTCACATACTGGAGAAAGTATTTGGAAATCACATAGCTTACAAAGGACCGGATCCAGAATACACACAGCGCCCTGGAAAATCAGAGAACAGACAGCCCAGTGAACAAGCGGGCAAAACATCCAAACAGACATCACTCCAAGGACAGAGACTCAAGTTACAGTTACTTGGGAAATGCCACTGATAATCCAAGTGGAATGGCAGGCAGTGCAGTAAACCCCTGACCACTTGACCCAGCAACCCTGCCCCAGGCATTCACCCAAGACATTTACAGAAATGTTTACACACATGCTTACACAAACCGCGACACTGGGTGTTTACAGCTGCTTCACTCATAACCGACAAAACTGGGGACAAGCCGGTGGGAGGTGGAGCCCGAGGGTCTGGGGATGGAGTGCAGACCAAAGGGACGACAGACCACCGTCGTGGGCAGAGGAGGCCGGACCCAGGGGTCCCTGGGATTCGTTCCTTCACAGACGTCTGGACAAGACAGAACTCTAGTGGCTGCCAGGAGGCGATGGGGGAGAAAGAGTCAGTTGCTCAGTCGTGTCTGACTCTGTGCCCCCGTGGACCGTAGCCAGCCAGGCTCCTCTGTCCATGGGATTCCGCAGGCAAGGATACTGGAGTGGGTTGCCATTTCCTTCTCTAGGGGCTCTCCCCGATCCAGGGATGGAAGCCGGGTCTCCCTCATTGTAGGCAGACGCTTTACCGTCTGAGCTACCAGGGAAGTTCTGTACTTGTGATAGGGGGATCCTGATTTAATCAAATAAACAAACCATTAAAAAAATCATGCTGGACTGACTCTATTCATATCAAAGCTGTTGTTCAGTTGCTAAGTCATGTCTGACTCTGTGACTCCATGGTCTGCAGCAGGCCAGGCTCCTCTGTACTTCACTGTCTCCCGGAGCTTGCTCACACTCGTGTCCACTGAGTCAGTGATGCCATCCAACCATCTTGTCCTCCTTCTCCTCCTGCCCTCAATCTTTCCCAGCATCAGTCTTTTCTAATGAGTTGGTTCTTCACATCAGGTGGGCAAAGTATTGGAGTTTCAGCTTCAGCATTAGTCCTTCCAATGAATATTCAGGACTGATTTCCTTCAGGATGGACTGGTTTGGTCTCCTTGCAGTCCAAGGGACTCTTAGGAGTCTTCTCCAACACCACAACTTGAAACCATCGATTCTTTGGCATGCAGCCTTCTTTACAATCCAACTGACATCTCTATGTGACTGCTGGAAAAACCATAGCTTTAATTATATGGACCTTTATCAGCAAAGTGATGCCTCTGCTTTTTAATACGCTGTCTAGCTTTGTCATAGCTTTTCTTCTAAGGAGCAAGCGTCTTTGACATTACGGCTGCAGTCACCATCCACAGTGATTTTGGACTCCAAGAAAATAAAATCTGTCACTGTTTCCATTGTTTCCCCATCTATTTGCCATAGAGGATGGGACTGGATGCCATGATCTTAGCCTTTTGGATGTTGAATTTTAAGCCGGCTTTTCCATTCTCCTCTTTCACCCTCATCAGGAGGGTCTCCATTTTCTCTTGGCTTGATTTCAGATTAATAATAATATTACCTGGGAGCAAGAGGTTCACTTCCTAATAACAAAGGAATCCACGTTGAGAGGAACCACAGCCCTGAAGGTGGTGACAGAGCTTCAGAATAAGAGACAAATGTGATAAAGCCTGGGAAGAATCAGGCAAATCCGTCAGTGTAACCAGAGATGCTAGCACTCCTCTGTCAGTCCTGGACGGGCGGGGACGCAGAGCTCAGCGCGAATTGGGAGCTACCCTCACGAAGTGGGAGGGTAGCCGTCTCCCTGCCTCCCTCGGGTGGGGTGAGGGGACCTCAGGGTGGTGGTCCCCGTGCTGTCTGCTCAGGGGTCCTCAGAAGCAGCTGCGTTCCGGCTCCAGGGTCACGTCCCAGCCCCGGGGCTCTGAAGCCCCACCTGCTTCGGGAGCCCCTGACTCCGCCTGCCCTGTGCCAGGCGGGGCCTGACCACCCCTTCATGGGCACGAGCAGGTCCGACTTCACCATTCGTGCACCTAAGGTCACTTGGCTTTCGGGGTGGCTCTGGGGAGGAGGCAGGCGCAGACCCCAGCCCCGGGCAGGCCCAGCGTGGTCAGGTCTTTGCATCCCACCGGCTGGCGCTTGGACGGGCGGGGAGGGTGGGGGAGTCGCCGTGGCCCCCCGTTTCGGCTGGGGCAGGGGCAGCAGGCAGCTGGCAGTGGGCCGTCAGCTCAGACATGAGCACCCGCTCGTTGGCGCCACGCTGGCCACGTGAGGGCTTTGGATGGAAGGGGAGGTCCGCGCTGTGGGACTTGGGCTGAGCCCAGAGAGAAAGGAAACCATCTGTGAAACGCGCTGACGGCTCGGCAAGGAGGAAAAGCTGAAGCTGAAGCCTTCACGCTGGGCGGTCAGGGACTCGGGGCCTGGCGACCTCACAGGCGGTGGAGCACGCGGGTCTGAGCCAGTCACAGCACGGTGTGTTTCTTAGCAGCTTTTCACGGGAGGAGTAAATGTCAAAGTGGTTTATTTCCATCTGGAGGGAAACCTCAGCAGTTTCAGCACTGAGCTCCTTTCCTCTTTTTTTAAAAAATTTATTTCTTTATTTGGCTGTGCTGGGCTTTAGTGCACCACGTGGGATTCTTGGTCTTCACTGAGGCACACAGCATGTGAGAGTTAGTTCCCTGACCCGGGATGGAACCCAGGCCCCCTGCACTGGGAATGCAGGGTCTTAGCCACTGGACCACCAGGGAAGCCCCACTTAACTCCTTTTAAAAACAAATGCATGCAGGGGAAAGCACTCACCTTGCCTTTCAAGAAACTATGAATGGATCCAGGGTCAGAAGAAAGTGGTCTCTCCTGAGAACAGCAAAATATTATTATTATTTTTAAAGTGACAGGAACTGACCCAAAACGCAGTGGGAAAAATCCATCACTTGTATTGTTTTGAGGCTAATGTGTGCAGCAGGCAGCGGGAGGCCTCTTGGCTGTGTTTATCTGGGGGGGGGGGGGTCCTCTATTTCTCTCAGTTAGTCACTTGTATCTCTTTCCTTGCGTCTGACAGCGTTCAGCCATGTAAAAGGTCTGACTCCGTTTACCATAATCACAGCCTCCTGGGTCACACGGGAATATGCCCACAGGCTCTGGTGCCTGCACGGTCAGATTTCTTACATGGATCAGACCTCATGACCCACTTGGGACGGGACCTAGTGAACCGGGTGAGGTGGGGACATCTCCATGGTGAGACTTCATAGCCAAGAGCACGGTGCCGGGCGCCTGCTCATTCAGGTGGAATTCCGTGTCTTTCAGGGGTGGTTTATGATTTTCTTCATAAAGGGTTTAGACGTTTCTTTTCAAATTGCTGCCCAGGATCTTTTTATTTTCGTTCTCCTATCACGTGTACCATCTTTCTCCCGTTATATTGGGGAGCTCGTTTAGTTAGTATATCTGAATGCTGTTGGGTTTTGCACACGAATTGTACCACTTGCTACTTTACTAAACTCTCTGGTTAATTTGGTAACTTTCTCATCATTCAGCTTCGGATTGCTTGGATGTCTGGCCGAATCAGCTCTGAGCAGAGTCAGGCGATCCGCTCAGCCATCCTAGGGTCCCTGAGTTAGCGAACAGGGCTCGATACTATGCTGAGTAGCGAGCAGGCGGCAGGCCTGTGAGAGGCCTTTCCTCCTTGATTAGAAAGACTCCAGTGTCTCTTTGAATAAGAAGTGCATGAAGCCTAAAATGTTTCCCACCCAGAAAAAGTTTGCCACGCATGAACATCTGTGAAGACATTTGGCCAGCTGCAATGATATTTAAGAACTGATGGGAAAACAAGCTTGTCAGAACCCTGGAGAGATGTGTGTACTGCCCTCTTCTTGATGACAGTAAGGAGTTAGTGTGCATGTTTAAGAGTGTGACGGTGGTAACAGTGTGGTGACTTGTTAAAGAGGCGTCGTCCCTTGGAGGCAGGTAGCCAGCGTTTATGGATGAGCTGGGCCTGAGCTGGCCGCGGAGGGCGGCAGGCAGGGGCTCAGGTGAGCTCACCAGGTGGTGGGCGAGTGTCGGAGCTGGCGGTGCACAGGCTGGGCTCACTCGCTCTTCTTCCTGCTTTTGTTATGTGGTGGGATTTTTTGGTGACAAGTTAAATAAGAGCTCAGACAGCCACTGCTCTAAACGTCCTCACTGTGCTCAGTGAGCAGCATTTTATAAGGAAGGCCCCCGAAGTGGAAAACCAGCCCTGCTTCTAGAGATGGACTGGCTCCCCTGGGCATGAGGACACAGTTTGAAAGTGAAAGAAGGGAAAGCTTTGGTTCCAGCTAAATAAAAACCCGTGTTTCAGAAAACGAAGCTTAAAATCCAAGCTCGCTCAGTTCACACACGACTCACCATGGCCATGTCAGCTCTGGGCGGCCAGCCCTGCCTCTCCCCGCTGGCGCTGTTCCCATCTTGTTCGACGCTGTGCAGTGAACCACAGTTTTTGGAAGTCACTTCCTACTTTGGTTTATTCATACATGTTTATAAACACATAACCGCACTGGACTGCCTTATCATAGCCAGCTTTCCAGTCCCATTTTGTGTATTAACATTCGGCTGAACCAACCTGAGGTCTAGGAAAACATTTTTAAGAGCATGAACATAAAAATTAAGTATTACATATCAAATATTGCCGTAGTATGATTTTTACATCCTTGTTGTTGGACCCACTTAAGTGGAACTAACTTAGTTATGGGATAATTATATGATATCCTTTTTTTCTTGCTTGCTTTTTCTTTCTGCTTTGCAAGCATTTATAACTTTGCTTATGCTTATTACATTTTTATAACAGAGGAAGCAATTGTCATTCTTCTTTAACCTCTGTTAGCTTGAAAAGTAATAAAATTAATCTTTTATTGCTAAAAAAAAATGACTGTTGACTGTGTTGGGGCTCCTATGAGAAGTATGCAAGGATGTTTTTCTCAGGTTTCTGTATTTGGATAACAAAGTAAACCTCAAGACTTCTCCAGTGGCTCAGATGGTAGAGAATCTGCCTGCAATGCAGGAGACCCAGGTTCGATCCCTGGGTGGGAGGATCCCTGGAGAAGGAAATGGCAACTAACTTGAGTATTCTTGCCTGGAGAATCCCATGGACAGAGGAGCGTGATGGGCTACAGTCTGTGGGGTCGTAAAGAGTCGGACATGAGTGACTGACTCACACTTACTTAACTTACTTACATTTTCTTCCAATAATGCATCATGTTCCCTTTGCCTCTCAGAGTTTACGGCCCAGCAGCATCTCAGAGAGTGGTGTTTGAAGATGTGTGTCCCCTTCTTACGTCCTTCTTGGATGGGTGAGTTCAAACATTTCTGAGATCGATTATCGCAGTGGGAGGTCAATGTAAGTAGACGTCATCTCTGCTACAGATGAGGGTCTGGCATCAGTGTCCAGGTATTTTGTGCGCGTGTAGAGCAGACCCATGGCCCGGTGTCCCCGGCCCTTCCCCGGGAGGAGGCAGAGACATGATTTGAGGAGTGACTGTTAAGGGAACTCGGGTGCCCTGGGTCCGGACGATCATCCTGTTAGGTCGAGTGAAGGCGTGCGTGCTCAGTCGGGCCGGACGATCGTCCTGTTGGGTCGAGTGAAGGCGTGCGTGCTCAGTCGGACCGGACGCTCATCCTGTTGGGTCGAGTGAAGGCGTGCGTGCTCAGTCGGGCCGGACGCTCATCCTGTTGGGTCGAGTGAAGGCGTGCGTGCTCAGTCGGGCCCCACTCTTTGAGACCCTGCGCCCCGTGGCCCGCCAGGCTCCTCTGTCCACGGAGCCTCCAGGCAGGAGCACTGGCGATCATCCCGTGAAGTCACGTGTCGTCTTCAGACTGAGAGGGCAGCTGCCTTCTCTCCGGGATTCTTTGTACATTTAGGCCCTTCCGTGAAGTCTATTAAGAACAGTGACACCAAATCGAGGGGCTTGTCCCGGGGGGAAGGAGTCTCTCCCCGCGGACGCTGCTGCTGGCTTCCAAGGCAGTGGCCGTCACCCAGGGACAGAGGTCACTTTTCGGCAGTGCCGCGCACGGCTCTCATGGCTTAGCTGAGACCCAGTAGAGCAGTGCTTTCCACTTTGAAGAATCTGGGCTTGATGCAGACGTCGACATCAAGCGTCCAGAAGAAGACATATTTGTGTTTGCCCAGCGCCAGTGAAATGAGGACTGTAATGACAGGGCTGGACCCAGCCACAGCGCGGCTGCCTCTGACCTCAGGGGTGAGGGGAGGCTCGTGGCCCCAACAGTCGGGTCAGCGCAGAAGCCACATGTCGCCAGCTGCTCACGCCTACCTGGTCCGCCCGCTGGGACTGGAATTTTCCTGTCCATCTGACAGAAAGAGCTCTTCGTTTGAAAACAGTAGGAGAATCTTTCTCTCGCTCTCTCTCTCTTTTTTTCCCCCTAAGTATGTATCTTTCAAGTAAGCAGATTCCAGAAATAAAAAATGTCATTGTGGTTAACATGGTCTCTGCCTGTTGTAAATGTGAAACAGATGCGCGCGTCGAGTCCTGGGCTGCATCTCCCTCTCTCCTTTCCTCAGTGGTCTGGAAGGTCCCTGCAGGCACTCATCTGTCCCCGCAAAGGCACTCCCCTCCCCACCCCACCCCCAGACACGCGCCTCTCAGGGAAGGTGTGAGAGGTGGGATGCCTGGTGTCTTCTCGGTTCTGGGAGAAGAGAAACGCAGGGTGATGGTGGAGAGGCCCTTGATGGGTTTTCACCCTCGCATTTGGTTCCCGGCGTCTTTTCGATCGAGGGAACAGCTGCCCTTGGAGGAAGAGGACTTTCTGGATCGATGCTCAAGGCGTGAACCCGTCAGAACACTCTTCAGAGTCACTTTACCGGAGCCATAGCCCTTGTCTGGCTGGAAGAGGGAAGGGTTCTGAGCAGATTCGAGCAGCGGGATCAGAACCTCCGAGGGTGGGGCCTGCCTTCGGGGGGTCTCCTCCCCCGGGAGGCAGATGGGAGTCTGGGCTCAGCTTCAGCCACTTGTGGGCCAGGCTCCCCTGCACCTCCACGGCCACGCGTGTAAAGCTACACTGCAGACTTACTTCAAATATTCCTTCAGATTCTTCCCCTCTTCTCACTGACCTGGGCTAATAGCACAGGTGGAAGAAAAATCCTTCAGTGGTCCTCATCCTCTGTGAAGGAAGCTGCACTAAAATAACCCCAAACCAGGATGGTGGGGGCAGGCCAGCTGGGCCCCAAGAGGCTCGGCACGGTCTGAAATGAGAACCCCAAGACCCTTCGGGAAACAAGGTGTAAGAACACCTCACGACATCGCCCACCTGGAGTCAGCACTGCAAGGAATCCTAAATGTAATGGGGGCGCTTCCCTGGTGGCTCGGAGATAGAGTCCGCCGGCCGATGCAGGGGACACAGGTTCAACTCCTGGTCCGGGAAGTTCCCACGAGCCTCGGAGCAACTAAGCGCAGGGGCCACAGGTACTGAAGCCTGCGCACCCCGAGCCCACGCTCCGCTGCACGAGAGGCCGCCGCCAGGAGGAGCCGGAGCTCTGCACCCAGAGGGAGCCCGAGCAGAGTGAAGAGCCAGCATGGCCAAAAACAAACAGATGAAATTATCTTTAAAAAATGGAATGGGGGAAGTATTTTTAAGACATCAAAAGAAAATATGCAAACTTTCATATGCATTCTAGTTAGCCTGATTTTATGAAGATGAACTTAATTCAGGCGACTCCAGACGTTGGAATGAGTGGAACTTAGGAGGAGGGCCTGGCCCGGGAAGGACTCCTCGGGCTGGCTGTGGGCTCCTCGTGGCCTCCCATGAGGAACCGCAGAGCTGCCTATGAGACACAGGTGTCCCGAGAGGCATGTGTGTGTGAGCACGGATGTGACCATCCGTGTGCACCCGTTCAGCCACGCGGGCGGGGTATGCCCAAGACAGGTGTGGTTAAACGCAGAGCGGGCTTTTCAGGGAGCAGATTCGGGGGGAATCACTCACGCGAACACTCGTCTCAGGGTCCGGTCACGGCGCCAGGCCCTCTGCCTGTTTTTCTGCCCTGAAGTCTGGCTTGCATTTCAGGTACAACGTCTGCATCATGGCTTACGGGCAGACGGGAAGCGGGAAGAGCTTCACCATGCTGGGCCCGCATTGCCAGGAGGAGCCGGCCCTGCCGTCGGAACCCTGCGGCGACGCGGGCATCATCCCCAGGGCGGCTGGAGAGCTCTTCAGGTACCGGGCGGGCAGGGAGGACCAGGCCGGGGTGCGGCAGACGCGGGCGTGAGACGGGGGCCACGCCCGTCCTCCTTTAGGACGCGGTCAGAACCCGGCGTTACCACCAGGGACGCTGTGTCCTTACGGCACATTCGTCAGTAATGCTGACATTCTGACTGTTGCAAGTAAGGCAATGCTTCTCAAAGGGCTCCCCAGTCGGACAGCTTGTGTCAAGGGGGGCTGGGGAGTGGGGTTTCCCGTCTGTAGCTGAGGGGACAGAGGGAAGCCTGTGGTCTCGCCCTTGTCTCCTGCCCAGGGAAGCAGACACGAAGTCCTCTTTGTGGGCGACTGAAGAGGCTCCTGTCCCACTAAGGGGCCTGGGAGTCACGGAGGCGTGTCTTCTGGTTGTCACGGTGTTGCTCCGAGGAGAAACCGGGAAAGCTGGCCCCAGCAGCCCAGGCCGTGTCCCAAGGTCTCCTCCCGCGGGTCGTGACCTCCTGCCCCGGGGCGCCCCGTGTGCACCGCCGGGCCTCGCTTCTGTGCGTTTTGTCAGGGCCGCAGGTGCAGCCTGCGCGTGCGTCCTAAGTCCCGGGAGGAAGGCGTCTCCCGCAGCGGGGAGCCGCGTGGCTGGGTGCCCTCTGAGCTCCCAGCCCCTGGAGTTCAGGTTTTGTCTCCGTATCTCCTTACGTCATCCTTCAGTGTCTCAAAATCAGGGCAAAACGCAACTCCCACAAAAGCTCGATGTTTTGGTGCCTCTTCAAACCAATATTCTTTCATTATTAGTGCACAGAAAAGACGCATTTGTTAATTCGCTTCCACAAACCCTTTCTGAAAATAAACCTTGGTAAAATATCTCCCAGTTTTGGGTCGTTCTTGTTCTCCCCTTGACGCATGTGATTTTCGGGATCAGACCACTTCTTAGGAGGTCAGGCTGCAGCCCTGTAGAGCTGCAGCTGTCACGAGCATCCTCCAGGTCGCCGTGGGATGCGGCCCTCGAGGGCGGTGCTTGGGCGACCGTCAGAGCACGCGGAGGCGGCCGGGGGACCAAGGCCAGCCTGGGGACCCTGCTCTGTTTCATCAGCCCAAGCAGGTGATGGCCATGCCTGAGCTCCGTGGGCGGACGTCCGTGAGCAGCAGAGCCGCTCTCGCACAGGGCTCACCGTTCCTGGGCGGAGGCCTCCTGCTGGGGACGCAGGCCACGGGAAGTGTTTCTATTTCAAGAGACCGAGGCCTCGGGGACACCCAGGGAGTCGCCTGGTCCCTGCCTGGGGCTGCTTAGCAGGCAGCTGGCTGGAAGCTGGGTGGCGCCGTGTGAGAACCAGGCAGGACCGTGTGGCTACCCTGGGCATCCAGGGAGAGGGACCCAGAGAGACGGGAAGTGCGTGGGAGGGCGGTGCGGACCGGCAACCTCTGGGGGTTGCCCTCATTTAAAGCGGCTGCACCCGTGCTGCTAAGACAACCGTCCAGACCCGTGGAGACAGCGTGGCTGGGGCAGGCCTCAAAGCATCACCCGGTGGTGCCTCCCTGCCCATCACACCATCAAGGCCCAGAAACAGAGGAGGTGAGCGAGTGAGCTCAGGCCAGAAACAGGGCCGGGACAGCAGGAGTCAGAGGCGCCCGCTCTGAGCCTCACAGCCCCGCCATCCTCTCGTCTCGAGTAGGGGCCCCAGGGGGCAGGCAAAGCCCTGCCCAGCAGGGAGACGGGCCGACGGCATTCCTCTGAGTTTGCCTTCACTGAATCCTAGTGTGAGCCACATGCCTGGACTCGCAGGGCCGGTCCAGACCGAAGCTGAACTTGCAGACACACGATGTCCAATGAGCCCAGCGTAGGTAGTGCTCACTTGGCAAGTCACGGAGCTCGTCCCCGAGGGCAGCAAGCAGAGGCCGAGGGTCCAGGGCAAGACGGCAGCCCCTGAAAACACTGGAGGGAGGCTGTTCGGACTACGCTGGGACAGTCAGCGTCTCCAGAGATAGGACACACGGCGTCGCCTGATGGTGGCCTCCTGTCAACGGGCATTTAAATCACCTGCTTCCAGAGCGGGTTTTTCACGTTTTGAGTCTTGGGAGTGAAACGAGTCAGACCCTTCCCACTCACCGTTGTCTCTTCTTCCGCGTGGGGGGCCATGGGCGCAGCTCCCCACCCAGGGCCCACTGCCATCGCTTGCACGAACAGGACTAAAGGTCCAGACGTGGAGTTTTCTACCTCTTCAATTTCTAATCAGAGTGGACAAACCCCGGGAAGGAACGTGTGTAGCCGTGTTGGCGGCTGAGTCTGTGCATGACTCCAATCCCAGCGATGGGGTCGCAAAGAGTCGGACACAACTGAGCGACTTTCACTTTCACTTTTCTACCTGCTAGACACCGCTGAGGGCTTCCCTGTTGGCTGGGTGGTAAAGAATCTGGCTGCAGTGAAGGAGACACAGATTCGATCCCAGGGTCGGGAAGATCCCCTGGAGAACGGAATGGCAACCCGCTCCAGTGTTCTGGCCTGGAGAATCCCACGGACAGAAGAGCCTGGCAGGCCACGGTCCATGGGGTCACAAACAGTCAGACACGACTGAGCGCCTAACACGCAGACATGGCTGGAGGCACAGGGAACATGAACCGTGCGTGTGAGAGCATTCAGCCCTCAACAGAGCGGAAGCCGTCAGGACCCAGGACACACGCGTGGGGAGGGATGGACAGGACCCCGGGCTGGGGCACCTGGAGGGGCGCTCGTGGGCGGGGGTCGTCACCTCCCTCCACCGCCTCTGGGCCCAGCGACCTCCGCGCGGTGACGTCTCAGGAAGCTTGTGCGTATTTTATATAAAACGTATCACACTCTGTTGGAGTCACTTGCCTACTAAGCATGTAGTTTCTTCAAAGCCAAGACTGAGGACTCGTTTTTAACATTGTTTGCAGAAATTTGCCACCAATTGAGTAATTCTTGTGGGACAAGTGAATCGATGCATTAAACAAATCAAATAATTAAACAAGAAAAGCGTTTCCATGAGCTCCCTGGTACTGTAGAGATGAGAAATCTCATTGCGGTTTGGGGCGCCTCGGAGAGATGGAGCCAAGTGCATCTTTCCTGACGTGTCAGGAGGGGACATACCATCTCTAGCTTAGCTTCTCTTGGTTTTTCACTTTTCAGACAGTCACTTAGAGTTTTCTCAGCAAAACCCAGTGCTGAGAACTATCCAGATATCCAGAACTCTTTGCTAGCGATTACTTTCACAAGAGAACTTAGCTCACGTTTTCCTTCGTTGCAGTCTTTTTTATTTCCTTAGTTGATTATCATTAGACTACATGAATGCCTGGTTTTATCCGTAGATGTCCCATGGATGCGGCTGCAAAGCCCACCTAGCAGGACTTGAGTAGGACTCGCCCAGGCCGGGGCCCAGAGTGTCTTTACGACAAGAGAAGCAGAGTCAGAATCAGACTGGCTCTCCTGGGCCAGCGTTAGAGACACGGTCATGCCCCGAGGAGAAGGCCTGGTCCTTGGTGACCGGATGGTGTGGGGCGTGAGGTCAAAGGGACGGAGCAGGGACATGGGGCGGGGGCAGGAAGCTGGGCTCAGTGGTCAGCGCTTCCTGGGGCGGGACCGTGGGGTTTTGCTCTAAGTGTGTCCTGTCTTTACTTTTAAATTGATCTGCAGTCTGCATGTAGTGCTTTCAAACTTGAAACAAAATAAGATGTATGGTGGTTTTCTTTAGAGTCTAGTGGGTTTTAGAGAGGTCACGGTGAGGGCTTAGTTAAAAGGCGCTGTAGGAGGGGCATTGACTCAACACCAGGGACTCAAGCTTCCTGAAACGGAACAGATTTTAAAATAAACAAGTCTGGTTGCTGGACCAGTGCTCAAAGCCTGCTTTGGGCTTCTGTGGGGGACTCAGCTTGGGCGTGGTGACTTCTGGGTCAAGACTGTGGGCTCTTCAAGAATCTTTACAGTGTATTTAGAGTTTGAGGGCAGAAAGCATTGATTTAGATACAACTCGGATGAAATAACTGTGTTCCCAAGACAGTCATTTTCTCTGCAGTTTAAAGAGGGTGCTCCCTTCTTCCTGCGTGGCCTGTGAGATGGTGCCCAGTGGTCCTGAATCCTGAGTTTTGCAGCCCGTTTCTCGGACTCTGACTGCCTCATGTTGGAAGTCACTCTTTAAGCCCTGTCTCCCTGGGGTTACCCACGTTCCTCTGATGGTTTGGTGTCTGTGTGTCTCACCCCTCCTCCAGGCTTATTTCAGAAGATGCGTCACGGAGCCCCGAGGTGGACATTTCCATAGTGGAAGTTTATAACAATGACATTTTTGACCTTCTGGCTAACGACAGTGGTCGAGTGGCATCTGGGGTGAAGCGACAGGTGCTGACGACCCAGCAGGGGAAGAAGGCGGTCTGCGGGCTGACCTACCAGTGAGTGACCGGGTGCTGAGCTCTGCGAGGGGCCGCAGCTTCGAGGGGACCCCATGTAGAGCCAGGCGAGGCGTCCCAGTCAGCACTCTTCCCTAGAGAGGGTTCACTGTGTTTATTTGCCCAGGGTGCAGTTCTCCACTTTGAATTTGCTTTAGAAACGATCTTTTAACGTCATAATGAAGACTAATTAGACGGTGCTTTAAAACATCTTCTTTAAAAGATGGCGGGACAGGCGTTGCGAGGCTCAGCTGAGGGACGGGCGTGGAGAAGCCCCAGGACCCGCCAGAAGCCCCTGGGTTAGGCACTGGTGTACTTGCGTCCCTTGGCATATCAGAATTTTACCGAATACACCAAGGAATCAGCTTCTCCTCCAGAGGTCCGTGTTGTTAGATTCACGTTCAGGAATCAGGTTTGCTTCGGACAGGGGTCACTGACCCACGTGGACAAGTCATGAAGGGTTGAGGTCATGCCGCCCATTCTGCGGTCTCAAAGTTAGCGGAGGAAGGGTCTTCAGACTATTCCCTTTTCCTTTTTCTTTTGTATTGGTGTATAGCCAATTAATGATGTTGCGATAGTTTCAAGGGGTCAGCAGAGGGACTTGACCATACATGTGTATGTGTTTCTAACATTTGAAAAAGCCTAAAGGAAGCCATACGTCTGACCATGATAAGTTTACATGAGCTAACCCAAACTGCCAGATTTTCACTGATAGATGTCATGATCAAAACGTTTTCTCCTGCAGATCAGAAGTTCTGCTTATCTCATCAATTAAAAGAAGAAAGTAAATTAAATTTGCATTTCATAAATTTGATGAAATTTGGTTTGATAGGCAAAATATTCTAAAATCTCAGGGTCCTTGAGGGTACCATAAATACAAGCAGGCATGATGTAGAGAAGATTGGGAAGCTCCACTTGGTTCAAAACCAGCCGCTTACTTCAGGGTAAAGCAGTGAGAGACACGACGAGTCAAACAGACCCGTCAAGGGAAATGCTGGCTTTCTCGCGCTTACTCTTGTCTGAGGCGTGCTGCCTCCCTGAGCCTCGTACACGTGGCCCTGCCGAGCTGTGCGTGCAGGCCGGCCTCCCCGCCCACCCCCGGCCCCTCAGTGCCCGCGTGTGCACCCGCAGGTCGGTCCGCAGTGCCGCGGAGTTCCTGACGCTTGTGGGCAGGGGTCTGCAGCTGCGGGCGAAGCAGCCCACTGCGGTGCATGCCGAGTCCTCCCGATCTCACCTGGTGATAACCGTGACCCTGGCCACAGCCACCTCCTCCCGTGGTCCCAGCGGGCGGCCCTCCGCACCCGGTCAGTGCCCATGGAAGAGATGCACGGGGGATGGGAGGAGTCCGCCTACTGCAGGCTCTGAGACACGCCCAGAGCCTGGGGAGGGTCTGCAGCCCAACCCCAGGAGCCAGGGGACCCAGGCTGAGGATGAGGGGGGCCCAGCATAGAGACATCGTGTCTTCCTGGGAAACGTGACGTGTTCATCGCGAACGACACTCTGACTGTGACCTGGGTTTAAGAATTCAGACACCAGTACACACACACACAACAATTCCAGCTGTGTAAGAGAATCACGCACGTGTTCCCAGGTCCTCACTGACTGGAAGGTCCAGAGCAGTGCGCTGGCATCACCTGCGGGGCTGGTGGGAGCGTGGACCCTCTCCCGCCCCCTGCCCCCTGCCCCTCCCACTGTCGGGACCCCGGGGCACGGCTGGGGCCCTGGACGCATGCTTCTCCAAGTTCAGGGAGCCAGTGCCCCATGAAGGCCACGGAGAAGCCCCGGGCCCAGGGGCCAACCCCCAAAGGGTGTCTACACTCCAGACTCAGGCAGGGAGGCGGAAACCGTCCTGACCCAGCTTGTTGCAAGGCCACTTGAAGCCCAGGGCATTACCAAATCTTCCTCGGAAAGCTTGTTTAGTGTTCGTGGGACGAATTAGGCATTGCTTCCCGGGTGGCTCAGTGGTGAAGAACCCGCCTGCCAGTTCAGGATTCCCTGGATTGGGACATGGCACCCACTCCAGGATTCTTGCCTGGAGAAGAAGCCCATGGATGGAGAAGCCTGGTGGCTGCAGTCCACAGGGTCACAAAGAGTCGGACTTGACTTAGCGGCTGAGCACGCACACAGACTTTAATTCACGTTTGACCCCTCAGGGTCTCGGGGCCCTTTTCCTGTCTGTGTTTCAGAGGAAGGGTCTCACTTCTCGTGAGGTGTGGGCCTGCGGGGCGGAGCTGGGGGACTCCCACCTGGGGGGGAGGCCCAGGGAGCTTGGGCACCATCTCTTGTCTCTTGTCACGCCCCTGCTGCAGCCCCGCAGTCAGATCAGTCAGCGTCCACAGAGCCCTGCCGGCCTGGACCGCGGTCGCCGGCAACCAGGAAGAGGCAGAGCCCACCCGTGCCCCCGAGGACCCGCGGGCATGGACTCGGGCAGGTGGCCCCGGACCCCCTGGGGCAGGTGCACGCCACCCTGCAGCTTGTGGACCTGGCGGGCAGCGAGTGTGCGGGTGAGCGCTGGGAGGCTCGGGGTCCTGACCATGAGCAGACGGGGCTCCCAGGGGTTGCGTCCCCCCCAGTGCCCTCTGAGTCTCGCCCCTCCCTCCTGGCGCCGTCTCAGCACCAAGATGGAGTGTCAGTTCAGATGCCGTTCCACGGGCTCCCAGCAGGGAGGGCAGCCCGCCCCCGCCAAGGCTTTCCCTGCCGGGGCCGCAGGTGGTCCTAGGGGGGACGTCCTGTGATAGGCTCTCCTCCGCTCAGCCATGCAGAGGGCACTCTCCCCACGATGCCTCTGTTTTGCTTCTCTGATGCCTCTTGATGTCAGCAAGGATTCATGCGAATCTTGTATGAGGGGGTCTTTGCACTCCCCAGGTGTGTCTGGAGTGACGGGGCCAGCCCTGAGGGAGACTTCTTGCATAAACCGGAGCCTGGCGGCCCTCTCGGACGTCCTGGGGGCGCTGGCGGAGGGCAGAGGCCACATCCCCTACCGGAACAGCCGGCTCACCCACCTGCTGCAGGACGTGCTTGGTACTGCTGCGCCGCCCCTACCCTACCCCTGCCCCCTGGCCTGCTCCTCCCGCCCAGGGGGCTGGCTGGCTCTGGGGGTCTCTGCCTCCCTTCCTCGGGAGTTGCAGCTCCTGTTAACACGGTCGTTGTCTCGAGGGTTGTCTGACCTGGGTCGCTGGGCAGCGTGGGCACCACCAGTCCCTCCAGCTGGTCCCATGTTCCTGGGGCGGCACCTGCAGGGCTTCTCTGAGCCGTGGAACCACGCGGCTCCGTCTCTGGTCTCAGGGTCTCCTCTTGCTCCGTCCACAGGACGAGGAAGGGGCCGCTCCCAGCTCTGCTGCTGCCCCTGATCCACGCCGACTGGGACCGGTGCTCAGCAGGATGCGTGGGGCTGGGGTGGCGGTGGGCACCCACTCCGCACGTTCTCATCCCCACGGCCGAGCTGCTGTTCTTCCCGCCTTAGGTCTTTTTCCAAACTGCCTCCCCTATTGCTGGCCTTTCAGGCAGCATGAGAGGGGGCTTCCACTTTGGGGAGAGGCCCAGTGGCCCCTTCCCAAGGGCCTGGAGGGGGCCAAGGGCCTGCAGAGCAGCAGGCGGGGCCCCAGCCTCCCTGGGTACACCCAGGCCCCTGTCTCACGCTCGTGTGGAGCCGCAGGGGCCGGGCCGACCCCTCCGGAGCCGGGCTTCAGAGACCCTCCTCTTTCACTGGGGCTCTTCCCAACTGCACCTTGTCACTTCTTTCTCCAAGGAGGTGACGCCAAGTTACAGGTGATCGTGTGCGTGTCCCCAGGCCAGAGGCACGTGGCCGAGACGCTGCAGAGCCTGGGGTTTGGCGCCCGAGCGAGGCAAGTGGAGCGAGGCCGTCCAGCCCCCAGAAAACTCAGGTGAAGGAGAGGTGGCGCGCTCAGGGCTTTTCTCCCTTTCCAGCACCTCTGGGAAGGGAGGACTTGCTGGCCCAGCCTGGGGGGCTCCTCTCCACTGTGACCCCCAGTGTCTCAGGCTGGACTCCACCGGCGCTCCCACCACAGGAGGTGGCGGCCGCTGGAGGGGACGGCCAGGGGCTGCTTCCCTCATGTCCCGGCCGCCAGGACGCGGCTCCCTGGGGACCAGAGGGGCCAGCGCTGGGGGTGGAAGGGGGCTGCTTGGGGGAACTGCAGATACCACCAGCCCTGGGTCTGCGGTGGGTTCTGGAGTGGACGTGAGGCCCAAACAGGCTTGGAGCCGTTGCCGCCGATGGCGGCCCTTGTGGCCCAAATGGTTTCAGTGCATCCTGTCTCCAGCCCGTCCCCGCTGAGCGTCGGGGAAAGTGTTTCAGTCTGAGCCTGTCTGGGTGCGGGTGTGCCCTGCAGGGCCCTGATGGAAGCTACCACCCCGAGGATGCCGGGTGGGATGGGCCGGGCCCAGGGCGAGGTCACTGGCCAGCCTCTCAGCCCTCCTGCTGCTGCTCCAGGCTGTGCTTTCGCCCAGCTGATGGCCAGCAGGCCAGGAGGCCAGGAGCCCAGCAGGCCAGGCCCACTCAGGGCAGCGGGCAGACAGACAGGGACACCGGGACAAAGCGGGCCGGGCTGCCCCGGGGAGAAGGGGCCCCCAACGGCAGGGCTGGGCTGAACTGAAGGGACCAGTCTGCACTCGCGGTTTTTAATATGGACAATCAGCTCGACGGTAGGTGGATCAGTGAGACAGGACAGTTTATACAGAAGAGCTACACGGACGTGCTTCTGTGTGCGGCATCGCCACGAACGTGGCTACAAAAGCAGAACAACACGGGAGCATTTCTTGTTCACTACTCAGGTATTCTGAGCAGTATAGCCATGGAGACAGAATTTTCTAAAACGGTGCAAACTCAGTAATGTGACAAGTGAACTGGTGTCAACTTCCCTTGATTCACATGATGCTGGCCTTCCTGCCAAGAATGGAGCTGAAATGGCTGTCGTGATCCTGCCTGACTTCCTGCAGGGCGGTGCCCCGGGCTCCGCGTCCGCATAGTCCACACCCAGGAGTGTCGGGCGGGCTGTGAGCAGTGGGTGTGGATGAGAGGCGGGGGGCTTGAGGAACAGGCCTTCCTGGCACTGCAGATCCTAGGACCCCAGCCCCGCCAGGTCTGAGACCCCACCCGCAGCCCTGAGATGTGCCCTGAAGGCTTCAAGGCTCGGCCCTAAGCAGGTCGAAGTGACTCCAGGGAGCTCGGTTCTCACGCGCCTGCTGGCCCAGGCTCAGAATCCCACCAGTGGGACCAGGCGTTGGGGGCGATCGGAAGCCTCCATAGTCAGGACAGCGGGCTCTGGGTTCGCCCACAGGACACGCGCTCACGGCCCTGGGCGGGACTGCTGCCGGTCCTGCATCTGCTGTGGAGGGGGAGCTGGGGCCGCGGGCGCCCCGAGAGGGGGACAGGCCAGCCCCGGGCCCCGCGGGGCCAAGGAGCCGCCCACGGAACACGCTCGGTGCCAGGCTGCCGAGGCGGTCTGTGCCCCCGGGGGACAGCGCGGCCCTGGGCCAGGCTCTGAGTGACCCTCCAGTGCTCCTCCATGGGGACATGGCAAAGCAGACGCCCGGGTCAGGCGTGTCCACCAAACCTCCCATTAGACCCAGGTGCCCCTGTCCTGCCGTCCCGGGAGGGCCTGGCGCAGGGACGGCTGAGGGAGGAGCTGCCCGCCCTCGGGTTGGCGATGCCTGCCTCCTGGACACGCTCCCCCAGCGCCAGGCCGAGCTGCCCGCCCGGCGCCCATGTCCTTGTGATGCACCCCATCCCACNAGGGTGACGTCACAGAGGGTGACGGCCTCCTGAGGAAGAGAATGGGTTCTGCAGACGCACAGAGAAAAGTTTGACACCATCAGGTCACAACTTTAAAACTCCTAAAAAGCCTTCGAATAGCACAAACAAGCCCAGCATTCCGCCACTTTGTCCGACCACACCCCCGCCCTTTCTGGTGTGTCCTTGTCGAGTCCTTGACCCAGGAAAACACTGCTTTCTCCCGTGTCTCCTGATGCTGAGGTTTGGGACTAGCTCCCATTACCCCCATGGGAGGGCCTGCAAGGCCTTCTTGCCACTCCAGCCTGGCACCGGGGGTCAAGGTCCTCACGAGACATGACCTGGATCCCCGGGCCACCCCTGTGGGCCAGGGGGTGATCCTGGTGGTCACTGTGAACCCCACGGGTATTTCCCACCAAACTGTGACCATGGGGAGGGTCATGGAGCGTGCGCTGGGTGGAGACACAGCCGGCCTAATCACTTAATGGTTAAAAAAAGTCCTGGTTCTGCAAATTTTTCCAAACGGTGTCACCACGTGAATATGCCAGCAGGGCCCAATGCCTAACCCTGCCAGCCTGGCGGCCCGCCCTGCCCCGCCTGGTGCAGCGGAGGCTCCCCGCCTGCCAGCTCTGGGGAGTCTACACTGCAGGAGCCCTGGGTGGGGGAGTGGCTGCCCCCAGAGTGCCCTGAGCACAGTGGGGGGATGCCTCCCGGTTCTCCCGCGGGGTGGCACCTTGGGCAACCGAGTCCCCTGGGCAAATGAGCGGGAATCATCAGCATGCAGGTTCCCAGGCCCCAGCAGCTGGTGGCTGGCCCGGAGTGAGCCCTGAGCAAGCCCTCGGCTTTCTCGTGAGTATGACCCGCTAGTGTGACCTCTGCCTCCATCAAAAGCGAGCTGGCAGGGCTGGGGGAGCTGTGGTCATGTCTGGCCGGTACTTCCTGAGCCATCTGCCCATCCTTCAGGGTCCAGAGGGAACCTGGGGGCTTCCCTGTCGGTCCTGACAAGTGTGGAGGGAGGTGTGGGGGAGCCCTCCCCACAGCCCTGGGGTCTGCACAGCCCTTGGGTGACCGTGAGTCGGCCACCAGCAGCCCTCATGGCCCTCTGGGAAGACCACAGCCCGTCCACCACTCACAGCTGTCTTCCTGGGTCNGCCCCTCCCCACAGCCCTGGGGTCTGCACAGCCCTTGGGTGACCGTGAGTCGGCCACCAGCAGCCCTCATGGCCCTCTGGGAAGACCACAGCCCGTCCACCGCTCACAGCTGTCTTCCTGGGTCTCTCCAGTGTCTGCTTTGCCTGAAAGGCCTTTGGTTTAATTTAGGCAAAATGAAAGGCCAGTTTTTCTGATGTCCTAAAGAAGCCTCCCTCCTCTCCTGCTCTAGCCCTGGCCTTCTGCTGCCCCCTGGTGGGCAGAGACGGAGGGAGACCGCTGGCGGAGGGGCTAGCGACCAAAGCGAGGCCCCTCCCGGCCTCTGACCGTCCCGCACTTGCCCAACCACCACGGATGGCCTGCTGCTGAGTGCACACTGGGCACAGTTTTCTGCGTCTCCACAAGGCCCAGAGGGAGCGCAGGAATAGGAACGGAGCTTTGGTGGTTTCTGGGTCAGCAGTGCTGCTTCCGTCTGCGAGGACACAGGGTGCTGGGCCGGACTCCCTCGGCCCTGGCGCCGGCCATCCTCCGCCAGGCTGGGTTGGATCAGGATAACAGAAGGGCAGGCTGGACGCGCTGTCCCCCAACAGGCCCCGCCCCAGGCCCCGCCCCTCCTCCCAGACACACCCACGCCGCAGGCAGCCCCGCCCCCAAAGGCTGCCCAACAGGCCCCGCCCTGGGCAGGCCTCCTATGCTCAGACGGCCCCTCCGCCCAGACACGCCCCCTCCGTCAAGGCACGCCCCCCTCCATGGCCACTGCACATTCCCCCCCAACAGGCCACGCCCCGGGCACGCCCCCTCTGCCAGACACGCCCACTCCACCCAGACACACCCTCTCCTTCCAGACACGCCCCCTCTGCAGGCAGCCCTGTCCCCAAGGCCTACAGCGCGCCTCTCCCAACAGGCCCCGCCCCCCGCCCCGCCTCTTTGCTGAGACACGCCCCCTCCGCAGGCAGCCCCGCCCCCAGGGCCACCGTGCCCTGTGCTGGCCGCCCCACTCCACGGCGCTGGGGCGGGAGCTCTAAGGGGACGTCCCTCCTCTGCGCCGTGTCCACTCATCACGTATGCCTGCGTTCATGTGCACACACGGGCACGCCTAGGGGTGTGTGTGGGTCCTGGCCCCAACCTGACGCTCAGCTCTGCGCGATAGCGAAGCAGTTCATCGGGCTGGGCTCGCTCCCACAATCTCCTTTAAAGGAAAAAAGATCATCGTGGACTCTGGATCGGGGCAGATGTGACCTCGGGAATTCGCAGGGAAGCAGGGCTGCGCCCATCTGAGGGTTCCGGGTGCTCTGCCCCGTCCTCCAGACCCTCGCCTCACTATCCTCGCCGCCTGCTGGTGTGGCCACAGGCTGGGTGGCCTCGGGAGCCCTCTTTGCGGGAGCCCAGACGGACGTATGGGCACCCCCTGCTCCCAGGACTGATGGGTGGACCCTGGTGCTGACCGCGCTGCGTGCTGGGAGGGCTGCCCCCGTGTGCCACCTCCCTGGGGCCGCACCTGACCTCATGGGGGACCCCCGCCTAGGGGAGAGGCTGCCCTGACTGGCCCAGGCCATCCTGCCTGCCGGCCCCTTCAGCAACCCCAGACCACAGGTGAGGGCGGCTTTCTTGTCACACTTCAAAAAAGGAAACAGACTAACGTGAGCTCCAATGGCGGGGCTGGCCTTCCTGACAAGCTCCTCAGGCCATGCAGAGTTGGTTCCCCACGGGGTGAAGCCCAGGAACCTTCACCAGGGCAACTGAGCACCAGTGACCGCGCCTCCCTGCCCACCCAGCACGGGCTGTCCAGGTGCAGACATTGGCCGGTATCCAGCTCTTTATTTGTGCCCAGTGTGTGCACAAACAAGACTCCTTTCACAGAAAGGACCCAGAGGCCCAGTTAAGACTGGGCTGCACCCTCTGCCCCCTGGGCTCAGGCTCCGTCTGTCCCTGTGTGGTTCCTCACAGACAGGCAGAACCGGGGGGACGGTGCCATCCCGGGCACAGTGCTCAGAACCACACAGGTCAGTGCAAC